ATTAAGCAGCACAGTATCCAGTCTGGTACCATATGATGGAGGGTCGAGCCATGTCCCACAAATCGGGTTAATTTTTTCCAGTGAGAAGAAAGAATTAGAAACCCACTCTACGGTCAACGGCTGACATGTTCATGGCAGGACAGATTGGGCTGTGGATTGCAGGAATGTAAAAGAGACAAAGATGCAGCTGGTAGGGGCCGGGGAGATAGCTCAGTAGAATAAGTGCTTCCCTGGCAAGCACAAGGGCCTGAGTTCAATCCCTGGTTCCCCTCCCCAAAAAAAGATGATGCATCTGGCACCAGAGTGAATTAGTTTGGGTGGGAGGGTTCTTTAATAACTGCTTGCGGGGGAGAACCTGGCCTCAGGGGTCTGTAGATTCTCATGGAAGACAAAAGAGGAAAGAATCTTCTGCTGGAGCTTTTCCATAAGAAAATGAACCCACACACCACCGAGTGTGTCTCAGAGCAGTGGAAAGGGCAGTGTAGCATCCACATGGAAAGCGTCTGTTGAAAAAGAGTCAGCAGGACACAGGAACAACGGTGAGAGAGCTGCTCCGTGTATTTCTAGGGACTCAGCTCAGCAGGTCCATATGTCTTGGGGGCAGGGCTAAGACTCACCAGCTGTTTTTCAGAGCTTTCTACTGTGTACTGATTGGTCACTTTCATGTGGCTGAAATGCTGGTGTTACCTTGGGATCCACTGCATGGAAATTACCCATCCCAAACGACCTCCCTTACCACGGAACCAGCCACACTGGCTAGATCCACATGCACTGCGTGTTCACTCAGCCCCTATGGTGATCCGTGAGCACGCTGGGGGTTCTTAGCAGCAACCGAGAGCTACAGTCTGGCTCTAAGAGATCAATGCTGTCAGCAGCTTTGATGAAGCGGCACATGCGGTGGGCAGGAGGAATGGCCCCAACCCTCCTGGGTAGACCACGAGGAGGGGGACAATGAACTCCCAGGAGAAGGTGAAACTTGTGAGTGGGTGGCATAAGGATGGTGGGAGAAGGAGGAAGAGTGCTGCCAGCGTGCGTAAGGACAGAGCCCGGGCTCCCTGGATACCAGCGCTTGGATGCTGTCAGGACATAGTCTATTGGGGATTTGAGAAGAAAGAGGAAGGGACACGGGCCAGGCCCAGTGGGTGCATGGTGCCTGGAGCAAGCTTGGACCTCATGCTGTGGGCCATGGAGAGACTTCAGAGGACATTCAGCAGAGAACAGAGGGAGGTGTGGGTCTGGGGGCCAGAGGGATTTATGGAGGCCACCATGGAGAGAAATGGTTGGACCTGAGCTAGGGTAGCTATCGCTTTTTAAAAAGACAGATTAGGAGGTCCCTAATCTGTCTTGTAGCTGGGTTCTGTGGGAGAGGAAAACCAGAGTCCTTAGGTGCGAGGTTTCTGAAGGGTCTCATTATTTGAATTACATATTCATGTGAATGTAAGCAGGCTATCGAGGACTCTGGCTGAAGACCCTATTTTTCATTCGAGCTATTTCTCTTGCTGAGACTACAAGTTCCTATCACATACTCTGCATGTCAGGAGCTGCAGGCCAGTGAAATGACTCAGTCAGATGTGAGCCCAGTCTAACCCTTTAACCTGGGGTGACAGGACACAAGAAATGCCACAAGAGAGTACCATGTGTGCAGGACCTATGGAGACACCGACTGTAAATAGTGTTGATAGCAGTAGAAAATGAGTCAAGCATCTGTCAATAATGAGAGAACTAGCTGGGTGTGGTGGCGCACACCTGTACTCCCAGCACCTGGGAGACTGAGGCAGGAGGATCGCCATGAGTTTGAGGCCAGCCTGGGCTACATAGTGAGTTCAAGGCCAGCCTGAATTGCATAGTGAGACCGTGTCTCCAAAAGCAAACAAATAAACAAGGGACAGGGCTGTCTGAGAACATGTTGCAATCTGCAGGACACAGGGGTCATCAAGGATCTTCCCAGCATACTTCCTGGAAAAGCACAGCACACGAGTGAGATCAGGTAGGTAAATGGGGAAGGGAGGTGGCCCTGGCTGACATGGTCATAGATCCATGGAGGCGGGTCCTCCCTGGGCTTTGTCATGGTGCCAGCCAGCCATCAAGGCGTCTTGCAGCATGTTCTACCCTGCGGGGATGCACATGCAACTTAGAAAAGATCTCCTTTTTTTGTTTTCAATAAACTCCTTTTATGAAGGGAGGAATTCCTGGCCTCTTATGCCTCATAAAATACTAAGATCATTCACTTCAAAAAATAAAAAATTGCTTTGAAGAACAATTTTAGTGGAAGATTCCACAGGCAAGGCTGGTACACAGCATGGTTGGACTCACCTTCTTTACATCCCGCACCAGCAAATGCAGAGTGTTGGGTGGCCCCAGTCTCTGGAAGAGAAGCGGGCAGCTGTGTCAAGCGTGTTTTTCTCTCAACTCTTGGAGCAGCACCCTGCCCTACTGTACGGATTGAGTGAATCCTGAGAGCTGGACTGTGACTCACCCTCAGCTTCTTTTATGAAACAGCCCTGGCCATGGTGGAGAACCACACCCAGCATTAGAACTATGTGAAGTATTTTCCATTGGAATGTTTTAAAGAGAGGATTAGAGCATACTGTAGTCCTCAAGAGTCATCAAGCTTTAGCAAGCAACTGCCGAGGACCATTCCTAGCACTTCACTTCTTAGAATAGGAAAGGGAGCACATCCTCAAAATCTCGGTTGTCGTAATGTAGGGCAGTGAGTTCTTTCATTCGTTCCAGGGTTTCCATCCTAATACAGCGAAGCTCCTTGCTATGCAGACATACTTCTACATTTTCCACTACAGCCTCATAAACATGTGACAGTCTCAAGAAAAAATTGACTAATCACCCCTAGTAACTTTTCCATTTTTTAATGACAGGAAGCTGAATCTCTCAGAGTGCAGCTAGGAATAAATACAGACGGCCCCTGTCTTAGGATGACTCGATTTAAAATGTTTAGACTTTATGATGGTGCAAAAGCCATGCACACACATCAGGTAGAAACTGTATTTGAGTCTTGAGCTTTTCCCCAGGGCTAGTGACACACCGTTCAATCCTGTCTCTCAGTGCTGGGCAGTGGCAGCCCCCACTCAGCACCACAACCATAGGTCTGAACATCCGTGGTGTTCTATGTTCCATAGTGTAGGTGTGTGCAATGTATTTTAAAGGCTTTTTTTTTTTTTTAACGTTTTTGGTGTAGGGTCTCAGTACGCAGCTTGGACCCATAGTGATCCTCCTGTTTTCAGCCTCCTCAGCGCTGCGATTACAGGCATGTGCCACCATGCCCAGACTCTGTCCCTGGATCTGCACCCCGGGGGGCAGGGCCAGCGCAGCATGCAGTACTGGGGATGGAACCCGGTCCCTGCACTTGCCAAAGGAGGCGCTTAGTCCGCTGAGCAATCGCGCCAGCCCAAGGAATGGCGTTTTTAATTGATGAGGTATGTATTGGAATACAAGGCAATTGCAAGATCAGGGGCATCTGTCGACTCCAGGAGAACTGACTGGCTAGGCGTGGTGGTAATTGATAAGCACGTGACCACGTCAGCAAGTAAGAAATGACTGCCCGCGCTTAAGTACAACCTTCTAGCTGAAAGCCTGCCCCGCAGTTCAGCCCAGCCGAGCACACTCGTGTGTCAGAATGTTTTCGGTGACAAAAACATTCAGAAGCCACCATCCCGTTTCTAAACACTCACTGTGTTGTAAAGCTCCTCTAGCCTCGGGATGGTAAGAAAGTGCTGCATGTTCACTCCATTTTCAATCAGGAGCTTCACAAAGTCCACTCGATCTAAGACTAGAGCGTCCAGCATTGCTTGCTCCAGAGCGTTCACCTGTGGGAATCCGGGGGAAGGGGCACCGTGAGCGGCCTGTCACAGGGAGGCCACTGGAAATGTCGTGGAAGGAGCACTACGACGCCCAGCCCCCAGAGCATTCTGAACATGGTTCTTTATCTCCCTGCCGCCCTCCTAAACCCAAGACCTCACGGAAGCTGCTCCAGTACGGAGCTGAGCCCCGGGGTCCCCCAGGCTCTCCAGCCAGGGTATAAGCCTGCCTCTTCTCTCCCCGCTTTGGCACCTGCGTGTTCTTCCAAAGTCTGTAGAGGATTTTCTCCTTTTAAGGATAAACTGAGGGAGATTAAAAACCAGCCAGCCTGGTGTTGTCCTGTCCATTTTCTCTCTCCTTTGTTCCTCCAGGTGAGAATTACTCTGCAGCCACTCTGAGACCGGGGTCACACGTAGGCCCCCAGTACACCACAGAGGACAGCAGCAGGGACAGTGGGAAGACACGTCACTGCAGGGCTCTGCCCGTCTGTGTCCTGGCAGCAGAGAGTGTGAGCGTCACCACACACGTACGCGCATGTGGCCCCAGCTTCACGGCTGCTGCTTCCCTCGCCCGATCTCAGGCTCTACCCTCAAAAAGGCTTTGCGGCACAGCTTGCAATCACACGGTAATAG